CCGCCCCGAGACGGAGGGCGGGCGGGGCGGAGGCGCTGGAGGCCGCAGAAGTTGGCGGGGCCGAGGGGGCTGCGGAGTGGGGAGGGGAGGGGGTGAACACCCGCGCCCCAGCCCGGACCCTGCGCTGCAACTGCAGAGCTCGCGCTTGCAGGCCGGGAGGCGCGGGCTTCCTCAGCTGAGCGGCGTGCTCCTGTGTGCTGTCCGCGAGTCTGTGCCTGAAGGCGCTGAGCAGGCACGGAGAAGCCTGCAGCCTGCCCGTGAATTTACAAACTGTAGCGTCAGTCTTAGTGAATGTTCAGAGAACGTGTGGGGAAGGTGAAATTCAAATTCACATTTGGATTGGATTGGCTAGTTTTGAATCTGCAGGCTTGATCTTTTCCATTCTTGCAAGACATTGTTTTCTTTGATCTTTTACAATCTTGTAAGAAATTGTTTTTCTCATCAGTATTTTTTACCCTGTTCGTATACGTTTCTGCCAACCTGATTAAGCTCTTGGATAAACTGTTTACTGACACTGATTCAGATTTTACTGTGTGACTTTTGTATGCATTTCCAAATTGATCTCTCAATAATTTGATCCATGTTTTAAATGCAGAAAATGTAAGTAACTTCTTCAAGGTCACATACCTAGTAATTAATTGGCGGAGTTTGTTGTGAATACACACAGAGAACCCTAGCATTTATGAATGTAAATTTAACAATCTCAAACCCACATTTCGTTGTTTTGTTTTGTTAATGCTTTATGCGAACATAAAAAGCATAACTTTGGTGTACATCAACACAAACTTAAACGATTCAAATTGGATATGTCCTTGATATACAAAGGTCGATAAATATAACCCCCCCAGTCCAACAGATGATTGCTGACAATTGTCTGCTAGAGAACGTTTTATTCTACTGCTTTTCCTGTACCCTTGCGAATGTAGGGGAAAGTAGGGGGAAGAGGAAGGTTTCATGAATGTTCTCCAAACAATTTTGAACATCAGTTACATTTTCTCCAGTGTAGCTGTTCATATAACTTAACAAATAAGGAACCTAGAACAACATGTCTTGAATAAATAAGTGAATGGACTTTTCCCTTCTCTTGGTCTTTTTTTTTTTATCAGTACTTGGGGAGAACACACAGTTACTTCAGATTTTGATCAGTTTGACATAGTCTTGTGTTGTTCTGATGATCCTTCTTGTTCTGATGATCCTTCTCTGAAAACCATTGTATATTTTACTTTCAGAAACTGCATATCATTTTGACCTCCTGAAATCTTGCAGCCTTTTTAGAAGAATGCCTTGTACTTGCCCTTTGTTCTGAAAGCTTGGCAGTGATCTTCCGCCAAGAGCAATAAAGTTCTGACTTGCCACTTAGTTCACTAGGCTCAAGGCTGTCCTCTTGAGAAAGTATTGTTTCCAAATTGCCTCCCTTCCTAGGAGGTGCTACATGCTTCCAACGCCGAACTCTTCACCCGGTCAAAACCTGGATCCATTCTTGAGTGTCGGGAAGAATACCCAGTAAACCACTTCACCAAGTGGTAATGGCTGTAATAGCTTTATGTGTGGCCTGGTCAGGGGTGTGTCTGTGCCATCTAAAGGCTCTGACTGGACACTGTCTTGATTATATTGGGTGTAAGTGAC